CAGGTATATACATATCTGTGAATACATGTCTGACTTTAGGCGTGAAACTCTGAGTAGAATGAATATACTATAAAGTAGCATCTACCTGATGCTATAAAGGTTAACTATAGTCATTAAATAGGTATTTTTTAAATATATTTTTTATTTGTAAGAAATGCAGTTTTACCTTTAATAAATAAAAAAAATGCTAAGAAATTTTGCTTAAAACTTAAAGCCAGGAAACAGGTTAGGATTCTGTTCAAATAGTAGGTACATGAACCTATCAGCAGGCAAGTAAGGACAAAAATCCTTAAAGCCGGAACACAAAGCCTGGAAGAAAATCAGCAATGTTTTAGTCAAAAGTCATATGGTCATTAAATAGGTATTTTTAAATATACTTTTTAATTTCAAGAAAAGCAGTTTTAGCTTTAATAAATCAAATAAATGTTAAGGAACTTCGCTTAAAACTTAAAACCAGGAAACAGATTGGGATTCTGTTCAAATAGTAGGGGCATGAACCTATCGGCAGCTCAAGACAGGACAAAAACCCTTAAAACCAGAAAACAAAGTCTAGAAGAAAATCAGCAACGTTTTAGTCAAAAGTCATAAAATTCTATTTCCCAACAATTCAGTCTCAAGTACTTTATCTTCTGTTGTGGTTTGATCTTCCCAATTAAATTCTGGGATGTAATATTCAACTCCAGACTTGTCCCTCTGATTAAGTTGGCCATTTTCTTAGGTTTTGATCTTTTATTTCTGTGTGTCTGTATTTAATTTTCCTGGTATAACACTCCCTTCAGAACTTCTTGGAGATCTGGTCTGGTGTTGGTAAATTCTGTCAGGTTTTGTTTATCTGAAAATGTTCTTGTCTTTTTTTTCCCATATGAAGAATAATCTTACCAGGTACAGTAAGTAGTCTTGGTTGAAATTACTTTTCCCTTAACACTTTAAATACATTTTCCCATTCTTTCTTGCTCACATTGTTTCCGATGAGAGGTCCACTGTGTCTGATGGAATATCCTTTGTAGGTAACTTGACATTTCTGTCTTGCCAATCTTAGTATCTTGTCTTTGTGGTTTTGGTCGATCTGGCTATAATGTGTCTTGGAGAAGATCTTCTTGGGTTGATTCTATTTGGGGTCCTTTGTATTTCTTGGGACTGGATCTTTGAACACCTCTCTAGATTTGGGAAATTTTCTTCCAGGATTTCATGGAATAGATTATCAATGCCCTTATGAGTCTCTTCACCTTCTGGGATACCAATTATCTGGATGTTTGGACA